TTATTTCAGAATAACATCCAAAATAACATAGTCCGCATCTACACTATAAGTAATTATTTCGACATAATCTCTAAATAATGTTGAGCTGGAGGATTTCTTACTCTGACTCCTGTAACCCCCGTTTTACGATGAGTAAGGGAAGTCAGAGGAAGAGTGCGCTTCCTCAGGCTTCCTGCTGTGTTGACAGTGCTAAAAGACTAAATAAGCTATTTCAACGTAGACTATACAATTAACGTAGCTGAACTTGCATAGCTTATTTTGGCATTAGCCATGCTGTGTAGACATGCTCTAAGTTTTCTAGGAAAACCATGTGCTACCTGTATGGTTCACAGGTCTCAGGACTAGTTCTGAATGCTGCAGGCATGGGTAGTGCTATACTATATTGACCTTAAAGTAATAGGTTATTGTTTGTATGAAAGATGTTATATAATAATTCTCATACTAGTCACACAGAACTTTCCTTCTGTAGAACTCAAAACACTTCACAAAAATGGATAATTGGCTACGTCTACACTGGCATGATTTTCCGGAAATGCTTTTAATGGAAAAGTTTTCTGTTAAAAGCATTTTCCGAAAAGCGCGTCTAGATTGGCAGGACACTTTTCCGCAAAAGCACTTTTTGCGGAAAAGCATCCATGGCCAATCTAGATGTGCTTTTCCGTAAAAAAGCCCCGATTGCCATTTTCACGATCGGGGCTTTTTTGCGGAAAAGAAATCTCTGCTGTCTTCACTGGCCCTTTTGTGCAAAAGTCTTTCAGAAAAAGACTTTTGCCCGAACGGGAGCAGCATAGTATTTCCGCGAAAGCAGATGATTTTGCCAGTCTAGACACAGCCGATAAGTATAATTGGGCAAATTACTTCTCTGTTTCAGTTTTCCAAAATGTAAAATGGGGATAAAGTCTTGCAATAAATCTGGGGCAGAGGTAGGATCAGAATACAAAATAAAGTTGTATTAAACTACAAGAATATCTCCTAGCTGGAAGTTAAGACACAACGGGTATGTCTAGACTACATGGCTCCGTCGACGGAGCCATGTAGTCTAGACATACCCAATAAGTATTAAGGCTGAAATTCTGCCCCAAACGTCAATAGCAACATTTCCAGTTTCTCCAAAGGAGCTAGGATTTCAACCTACACTTATTTCTTACTAGAATATTTACTTGGCATTGTTCTGGTCTTTAACTCAATTAATTTTTGTTTTTGGAAAACAAAATGAAAATGTACATGCTACATTTAAATCATCACTCTGGGGTGTGACTGGGGAATCTGTGTTTATTATGTAGGCTGCCCCGGGGAGAGAGAACAACCCCAGACCTCTCATCACAGCAACTTGCAGCCAGGTGAAAAGTGCCTCAACATGGCTGTGGCAGCTCTAGCAGGCACAGGCCAGGGAGGGGGTGCATATCCTCCAGCTAAGCCAAGTCCAGTTTCATCTGTGATTGTACTCCCCCACCAGAGTAAAGAATGCAGAGAACTATGCACTTTCCCCACACTCCCTGATAAAAGGGAACAGCCAATAATGTCCTGGTATAAATTGGGGGGTAGGAAAGGGAGACAAGCTTCAGATCCCCCACCCACCCTACAATATGCCTGAGGGGAGGGAGACTCAGGGCTGAAGCAGTCCTAGACAGCAGGGAAGAGGTGTGCCCTCAGCCAGCTCCTTTCACCTGTCTGGCAATTCTGTCTCTTTTCTAAACGGTTTTCTGAGAAGCAATACTATTCGAGACGTATTCCATTTTCCTGGCACATCCAACCTCTTACTTTGTTTTAAACTATGATAAGAAGAAGCTGCATACCAAATCTGAAGATCATAGCTATTTCCATTTAAGAGTACTTCTTGAACAGACAGACAGACTCTCTCAAATATAAAGAAGATTTCAGGGCCAAAAAACATACTGTAGCAGATGCAGTAATTAAGACGTTATTGGGGGTTTTGTTTGTTTATTTGTTTTGCTTTCTTATTTCTTTCTTCAGAATCTTGTTTCAAACTTTGCAGTTGTTTCATGGGGTAGTAACATGCATTTATTTAATCCAGCAGTGCCCTCTTATTTTTTATAGATCAAGTTTGACCACAAGGCATACCTTTTCTTTCTTTAAAGTACTTGCCTTTGAACAGCCTAGGTGGCAGTGAGTCAGAGTTGTTTTTGAAAACATTGTTGATTTTAAAAGATGAACCTCCTGGGTTTGGGGTATTTTTTAAAAGATTTTTTTAAATTTCTTGAAGAAAAATTCAATTTTATCTGTTATCCTTAGAGTGCTTCTATACAATTAATAATCATATATCCCTTCTGAACTATTTTAAACTGTCTCTTTTGATAGATTAAAAATAGTTGCCTCTTAAAATTGACCAATTCAGTTAAAACCACTCTGTTTTATGAAACAAGGCTGTTTTATTTTTTTCTGTTTCATTTAAACAGAAAATTGCACAGAGATTTATTGCTAATCATTTATTGGCTATTGAGCTGAAAGCAGTGGAACAATGGAAAAATACATTATTGTTTCTCATAAGATCAGCCTGCACTTGAGAGAGAACTGAAACCTCCAATATTTACTGTAATGTGAATCTGATTCACACTGGTAATATATATCTTTATTTTACTGAAGCTAATACATGTATTCTTGAAATAACCTTACACCACTATTGGTAAAACATGGGGGGAGGAGAAGAGGGCATCAATTCTGCAAATGATTAACCAGCATGTAAGTGGACAAGTTGGAAAATTGCTTTCTTAAGCAATTGTAAAATAGCCTAAAAAATAAATTCTTCATTCTGCACAGGCTTGGTCATCACTGAGATCACACAATCTCTTCACTTAGACTTGGCTCATCAGGAGCTTTTCAAAACCTTTGTCAGAAAACACGAGTTCATCAAAACTGAAACTTTATTGGGGAAAGAGATTTCTCAGGTCCACAATGTGTATGTCTATTAAACAGTGCTATCAATTGACCTGAGTTTTTGCCTGCGATTAATGCTCCGTCACTTCAAAGGGGCAGTGCAAGCAGAGCTGGGGATCAGATGGAGTGCCCAGCTGATCCTTGGCTCCACGTTGCACAGCCCCTTTGAAGTGCTACTCCAGCACTTCAAAAGGGCTTTACAACAGTGGAGCTGGGGATCAGCTGGATTCTCCAGCTGGTCCCAGGCTCCTAATGCCTGCCCTTTGGAAACGTTGCCACGGTGCTTCCAAGGGGCAGCGCTTCATGGAGCCCTGACACAGCATTTCAAAGAGGAGGCGCATGCGATAAATTGCGATTAATTTTTTTAATCGCTTGACAGCCCTAATATTAAATGTTATGAGAGAGAGAAAGGCATCCCTGTCACCCATAATAGCCAGTATTTCATTGAAAAGAGCACTTAACGGGGTATGTTACAGTTGCAAGTTGGTATAAGTAACAGTATTTTACTTCTGAACCTAGGTCCTGTGCTCTAAACAGACTCTCACTTCTGGCTCTCTCTTACCCATAAAGATTCTTAAGGAGACTACTTGTTCAAGTCTCCCCATAGAAACTTGACCCTCAGCTCTCTCTTTTACTGTTTTTCAAATTTCACTGTGTGCATGCAACCATTTTTTTGTTTGGAGAGGAGGCAAAGAAAATTTTCCTGGCAAAAATCAAACATGCATCATTTGGAAAGATTATCATTAAAGCCAGTGAAAACTTTTTGTTTTCTTATTGCATGAAATTTGCTCCCAGATCAGGATGACACGCCAAAATTTTTCACAAAATGAAATTCTAAAACAAAAAAATGCATTTCAGGTAATCAGAATATTGTAATTTTAACAATATTTTTGTTCTTAAAATAAAATTAAAAATGAAAAGTTTGGATTGAAAAAATATTGGAATATTTTGTTCCAAAAGCATCGTAATGAGATTTTGACATTTAGATGTTTCTTTTCTATTTTTCTAAATGAGATTTCTTCAATTGGTATGACTTAACAAAAATGTTGTTTGTCAAAACAGCATTTTCAAACAGAAAAAAATCAATACATTTCCATCTTTCTATCTCACGAAGTTAGATAATGCTGTTTTCCAGCTTTCTGGATATCTATCTTGAATTAAAGCTGATTTACAGGAGATGGCAGAAGTGGTGCATGGAAAACAAAGTAGTATTTCTGGCACACTTTGAAACAATGGGTGTAACAAATAAATTATATTTTTCAAAGATACTCTAATTTTATGAGCACAGGTGCTGTCTTTTGGCAAGCACTTTGAAAACAGGAAAAGCAAGTGATCTTTTCATTCAAGAAATCTGTGCTCCATTGTGCAATTCTTACAAGTTAGCTGGGCCAAATTCCCTGTTTGAGACCAAATGTGAATGCTGATACCAATGACATATATAGAAATACTTTATTTATAATCTTGAAAACATTCAAACAGATAATCCCATTATGAGCTTTTAGCACAATAGTTTTTAAGTCATATCAATTCATGAAACTTCATTTAGAAAAAAATGTAAATGTCAGATTGGGATGTGCCTGTGAAAGACACAGAGTAGAAACAACAAAAAAAGAGAATTTCATTTGGAAGGGTAGAAGGAAAATAACCTTTAAGTATTTTTTAAAAACCCTCAAAAATATCTAGAATAGAAAAACAAACAAACAAACTTCAATTGTTTCTTTCAACGAAGTGGTCTATAAATATTGAAGAACTGAGCTGTGAAAGGTACTGTTGAGGCAGGCATATTTAGTGGAATTTTAAAGACTGTGAAATTGAGGCACAGAACAGTTAGTGAATTAATGAAGGTTTCACACCAAGTCTGTGGGCTAGTAAAGAATAGAATTTACAAGTAATAACCTCCAATCCTGTATTTACTACAGAATTCTCTGAGAATATTCTGCAGCAGCAGATGAATGAATGGATGGAACTTAAAAACAAACAAACTAACAATAAAAAACAAAACTCAGGTTGGTACCTTCTGGGATAATCCGAATATCTGGAGAAAATACACCAAATTAAGTGTTTGTAGCTTCACTAAGAAGGTTCTGGAAAAACTCTGATCCTACCTTCTTCTTCTCTAAGTATTGTCTCCAAGAAATCTCCAACTCTTGCTGCTATATCCCAACTTCTCACTTGGAAGTTTTCTTTGTCTCCTTCACTCATGCCCAAAATCATGCACCCTTTTTTGCTGCCTGCCATTTCTGACTAGGCAACAGCCTTCCTGTTAGTATAAGGGATGGTGACTTTTCAAACTAGGTTCAGAGGTCATTCTTGGATTAGATAGCAGCATAGAAAAGGTATGAAGAGTGGAATGCAAGAAGCTAATGGTTCACTAAGGCTGCTGGATATTGGATTAGAGTAGACAATGAAAGGATGTAATAAAATCCAAGGACTAAGAGGCCAACTGGGACAGAATTTTATGGTAATGAGGACAATTTTGTATTTGAATCTGTGTACAAGGTGATCATTGAAAGGTATTCAGAGATGGGGTGACATGGTCATATCTTGTTCATTCTGACTGAGGGGGATGTCATCTGTGTTTGGAGGAAAAACACATCACAGTAAGCAATATTTGGATACAGTAGATGGGAGAGATATAGAGAGAAATCAAAGATCATGCTTATCTGGGTGACAAGGTGATAGTGTCAATTTTTTTGTGGTTCATAGCATGGACAAAAATACATTACAGGCAGTCCCCGAATTACGCGGATCCGACTTATGTCGGATCCGCATTTACGAACGGAGCTTTCTCGCCCCGGAGCTCGCAGGCAGCAGGACCGCCCAGAGTGCAGCGGTCCCGCCACCTCAACCTTTGGGGCGAGAAAAGCTACTCCGGGTGACCCATGTCTGCTGGGGACCGTCTCCAGCAGACCAGGGACACCTGGAGCAAAGCCGGGGAGGCGGAGGGCTCCTGCCCCTGTG